CTGCAATCGAAGCATTGTCTGATCCAGCTGAAAATTTGAATACCAGAGCAAGTGCACGAACCCTTCTGCCTGCGGTTTGTGACTTTACTTTTCTCTGTTATTTATACTTTTGGTGTGACGTCTTGCAAGAAGTTGATATTGCACAAAAGTACTTGCAAACGAAGGGATTGTCACTTGACAAGGTTTTGACTAAGCTAAAAGCACTCGAAATCTTTTTGACGGCTGAACGCAACAATCTTGTTGAAAACGCCATTGAGAAGGCTCTTTCCAAGTCAAAAGAGTATGGTATTGCTGTGGAGAGGAGAGTTCGTTTCAAGACAAGAAAGCCAGGTGGCCAACCGTCGAAACCCGGGCCTACGTTGGAAGAGGAAAACAGAACTGGTATGTTGGACTGCATCGATCGTTTTTATGATGAACTGCTGAAGCGATCAAAACCGGTGAAGGAGGTGGCGGACATTTTTGAAGCAATTCAAACTGAAAACTTGCTATCAGCGTCTGATTTAGAACAGAAAACGTCTGCTAATAAACTAACGACTTTCTACGACGAAGTGTCCGAAAGCGAACTGTTGTTGGAGATCCCAAGGTTTCGGAGACATCTGAAAGCAGCAGAAATAATTATGGATGATGCCAAACGATGGAGTGCACTGGATGTGCTACAGTTCATCGTCAAATGGGACTTCCAGGAAACACTTCCAAATCTCACGGTTGGTTTGAAGTTGTTTCTAACCGTGTGTATTTCCGTGGCGTCCTGTGAGCGAAGCTTTTCCAAGTTAAAGTTGATAAAAAGTTATTTACGAACAACTATGGCACAATCGCGCTTAACTGGGTTGGCTTTGTTGTCTATTGAATGCGAATACGCTAACTCCACTGACTTTGACGAAGTCATAAGACAATTTGCTGCAGTTAAGTCAAGACGTGTCAAGATTTGCTGATTTCTTGTTTTGTATTCAAATAAACGATGTTTTTGGCTTGGTAAACTAGATGTTTTATTTATGTTTTATTAAGGAAACAGTAATTTATGGTAAGTACTCATGTGCATATAAAACATGGGGTGACACCCACAAAATCCGCCCCGGGTGTCACCAGGGTACGCTACGCCACTGGAGCAAACTTTTAAATGCGAACATCATTGAAAAAAATCTCGACCAAGCTCGATCCGAAGATTCAATGTAAAATAATCAGACAAATCGACGTTTTACGACGGCGGACTTATTTTTTTTTATGTTTTCACGTACATTTCACGTAACATTTAATAAGGCACTTAAAACCAGGCCTCTTAATGAGAAGTATTGAAATAAATTTGGATATTCAACAAGATTTTTATACCATCAGTTTCTATTTTAAATATTTTGATAAGATCGGATTCATAAATCCTTTTCTATCTTGATTGATGCTTTAGCAAGCGGCTAAATTGATAGTGGATTAATCAAGCGGCTAGGGGAAATGGCTCGGAAAGGGTTTTTATTGTTGCTAAATAGCTTTTGTTGTAGCTTTCAAATGGTTCTTAATGCGTTCGTCATATAACCTTTTGCAGTAAATCAATCTTGAAGAGCTTCGAGAATACACCCTTCAGAAGCTTCTCCAGGGTGGGCCAATTAGACATATTCTAGTCTTAATGAGGTTTTGGTGGATGCTGTAATGACAAAATAGCCGTGACCAGGGTTTATGAATGTTGTTTTATAGTTGCTTTATAGTATTTCATAAAACTTAAGATGTTACTTGGGATGGGTACAATCCAAAAGTTTGCATTTTTCATAATCTTATTTTAGAAAAAAATAAATTAATAAATCGGGCAAGAACATTTTAATTTGGGTTTAGGGTAAGCGCTCCTATAGTTGCGATACGTTACACAGAAAAAAAAAGTTGTTGAATATTACATCCAAACTGCTGCAACCAGGTCAATCCATCGGTTGTGTAATATAACGTTGTACGATGTACATCGATTTTGCGAACAAAATTACATCCATTGATGTAATATTGTATCTGATTTTGGCTATTACATCATTATTTCATACATCAGCTTGAATTACATTGATCGATATTACATTTTTTTTTTGCTGTGTAGAAGGGTTAGGTTCCTATAATTGTGTATGGAGACTCCATACACAACAAACGGAACCTAACGCTTCTAATGTACCGCAATAGAGTGATGCAAAATTTGAAATTTTCGCTCCACAATACTTAAGCGATTCCAAATCGGATCCTGACTAACCTCTCAAAATTTGAACCCATTTAGTGAGAAACTGAGATGGCTCAAACCATTTGAAGTTTGTATGGGAATTACTATGGTAAAACCAAGATTTTTGTTCATGTCTATCTAATAATTCACCATATCGGTCTGCTTCAAAAGCTTTCAACTGTACTTGTAGGAAACAGCTACAACTTTGCTGAAGTCCTCTTTTTGATTAAATGCAAGGATCGAAAGTTATCAATGATCATGATTCGAAAGTTATCAATGATTATGATCATGCTCAACCAACTGCCTAGCAGGCAACATTGGTGTTTCTGGGGCGTTGAATAGGACACAAAAATCATGTCTACTATGTCACACTGCAAAATACAGTGTTGCCTACAGCGCAGCTGCTTGATCATGTCATAAGTTTACCAATCTCTTAAATAATTAATAACTTTTTCCTATCTCGTTTTACATAGAAACGATCTTCAGCAAAGTTGGAGCTGAGAAAATTTTCTATAAGAATAGCTATCGAACTGTTTCTCAACAGCTCAATATGGAAAAAGACTGGAAGGCAATGAACAAAAAATTGAGATTTCCCATAGTAATTTACATGCAAACTTCAAATGACTTGTGCGAAGTCTGTTTCTAACCAAATGAGTTGTAACTTTGGGAGGCTAATCAGGACCCAATTTGAAACCATTTAAGCACTGTGGAGCGAAAAATTCAAATTTTGCATCAGTCTAGTACCGCAACTATAGGAGCGTTTACCCTATAACATTTTTTTAAATTGTTACTTAAAACAAATAAAAACAAAATTGTTTATTTTTCCCAGAAAGTAATAATTGTTTACAACATTTTTGTAAAAAATTTCTAGGGCTCCATTCTGAAAATTTTACATGATCCGAAGTGGTCGAATTTTAGCAAAAAAAAAAATGAATCATTGTCCATAGCACACAACGCAGTTTCATACAAATCGGAGAAGGTCGATCCCAAATTAAATTTTCATTCGCCATTTTACCTGGAACTGCTCTATTCACCTTCGTCTGCCCGTCGCTGGTTACGCTTATGAATGCAAATGATCAGCTAAAAAAAAAAGAAAGGCATATGTCCAGAGGGGGCAAACCCACGCTTCCTACGCCAATGCCCGCAGCGATCGAGACTTCAAGCATAATTCCTCAAAGCATCCAAAGCAATAGCCTGATTTGGATAGAGATACAGATCTAAAAACCTCAAATTAATGCTGGACTAAAACGCAATGGAAACACCATCTAAATTAACAATCACAAAGTCAAGAATTATCCTCTTATAAGTCCAAAAACTCACTCATGTGGTTACATAATTATCGCAACCACCAGCTGGCAACGGACACAGCAAGTGAGAGCCCATCCCTCCCCTAATTGATAGTCAAGTGACACATCCCGGGTGTGGCGGACATGGGGGACACATGGGGAAGAAAGAGGTAACCCCACCATACCCTCATTAAACATAAACAAGCCACCCGGGACGTGTCCAAACAAATGATGTCCAATGGGTGCATGTAGCAATGTTGAGCGGAGCTGAAAAGCTATGTAAATTTTCCACACGTTGACCACCGCCAGTACCCGAGCAAAGGTGGATATCAAATTGAAATCAAAATATGCTGTTATGATGTAACTTATTTTGAATACCCAAGTTGATCTCATGTTGGTTAACACAGCAAAAATGAGAGCAAAATTTTACACTGTTGAATCAAGACTAATCCTGCTTTCAAATGAAATCAAATTGATTACTGATTTTGTATTATTAAACTGAATACGGGTCTGGCGTTAAACAGTAATCGTTCCCCCTTATTCTGCGCCGCGAGTGAGGTGAAGTAACTCGCTGTCACTGGTGAGGTGACTCTCCGTGCTAACCAAATAGAAAGTCTCCTCACTCGCGGCGCAGAATAAGGGTGGTTAGTTCAACGATAGATGAACATACATTACATTTTCAGCAAGACAAAATGAGATTTCATTTTGTTACCCGACTTTGCTCGGGTACCTATCAGAGAAGAACAACAGAGGACAAGACCAAGCTCCTTTACATATGCACAAGAGCCCCCCTCCTGATGGTGACGGTCGGGACGTCGAAAATCCATGTTGAAAATATTTTAATGGACACCGACCGACTGACTGGACGCTTCCCACGTGGGCACCAACTACAACATAACCTAGAAGACAGTCTGTTCCAACGGTCCTCAGGCTTCCGGGCGGAGTTCGGTTGGAATTTTATAATATTCAATAGAGCAACACACAATAGGACAGACTGATTTTGCAACCCATTCTTTCCCATGGGATTGAACGTATCTAATACATATAATAACGTTAACACACAAGTTATTTTGATTGAAATTTACGAGCAGCAGCAGCAGCAGCAGCAGGGAAATAGCTGACAGCAATGAAAACAAACCAGAAAGGAATATAGATAAAATGTTCATAAATTTATAGCGAAAAAGAAGGTATCAAATGAAAGCGGGCAAGAACAAAGAAACGTCTACATCACAGAGAGGGTTGGATAGAGGGAAGGGCACATGTCATGCAAAAAGCAACAGAACAAACTCTAATAATAATATACCTAGTATGTCCCTAGTACCCATATAGGAAAAATTGCGCAGGATAGGGAAAGGATGATGATTCTGCGGCGGGACGAGATTCCAGCAGAAAATTTCGCCCACACAACGACAGACCGATAGGCTAGATAGCATAGATAGACTACAGGATCGAATGATGGCGATAGAAGCGATAAAGCATAACATTCTACTAACTCGCATCGGACTTCTCGCCGGGTAAGGTCTTCCGGTACTCACCCACTAGGACTGTCACCTGGACGTTGATCTTGCCGTTCTCGTTGTTGGAGGTGGAGTACACTTCCGTCGCCGTGGCCGTCGCCGCCGGTGCCGCTGCCGTCGTCGTCGCCGCGGCATTTGGAATGTTCGATTGTTGATTGTTACTACTATTACTACTACTGACTAGATTACCATTGACTGAGGATGGAGAGGAGGATGATAAGGCTAGTATCTTGTTGTTGTTGTTGTTGTTGATGTTGAGGCTGTTGTTGTTGTTGTTCAGCATCTTTCCGCCACTGGTTTCGCTCACGTAGGAATCATTGTCCTTGCCCTCGGGCGATCGGCGGTCGTACTGGTTGAGCGACGGCGGTTGCGAAGAATACGCCGACGAGGTGGTGGATGATGGGTTCGTAGCGGGACCGTAGTTGTGGTCTTTACTGCTAATGTTGTTGTTGTTGTTATTGTTGTTGTTCAGGTTATTGTTGTAACGAGTATTGTTATTCAGTCCGTTATTCAACGCCACATTCGTCGTGCAGTCACCACTGTTGATGCTATTGTTATTTACAGAGTTTAGATGACCATTGTTGGTGTTCTTGGTGTTGGTGTTGTTGTTGTTATTGACGACGGCTGTGAAATGGAGGGAAGAGGAATTGAGGGGATTGGATTGATTAGAAAAACGTGAACATCGGATGATTTGGTTATTGATATCACCGTTTGTCGTTGAGCTGTTGTTGGTGCTGGTGTTCGACGTCGGTCCATCCGGTGTCGTGTAGCCCTGGAAGAGACGATAAAGATGAAATGGAAAGGGTTAGGGACTTGATTTGACTCAGATATACATAGGAAGTAAATACATATATAGATTGGCAGAAATTTGAAAAAGTTTTCGTAAGATTAGAACTATTGAGTAGTTCCACGCTAAATGATGAATCGATAAAACTTGACCTTCTCCTATTTACATGAAACTTTACATACTTTTTTTTTTATGGACAATCATTAACATTTCTTTTTCTAAAATTCGGCCATTTTACTTCTTGTGGTTTTGGTTTGTATATACTTTCATCTCTGCTTTTGGATCTTGTATTTTTTTATTCAAAATGACATCTTAGACAAAGCTGTACACGGTGAATGAAAACGACCCGAATTTGAGTTTAGTTAACTCATAAATCACATAGAGCGCAGGAACTTAGCGATGAGAAAATTTGTCTAATGTTTTTCCAGGTTTTTCCAGGTTTTTCCAGGAAAAAATCCCGAATATGAGAAAAGTAAAAATTGGTTTCACACAGTCTTTTTGGTACTACTTCTACACTGAGAAAAAAATTCGTGCGTTTTCCCATTTTTCTGGAAGACTTTTAAAGTTTTCCACAGGAAATCATTAGAGTATTTACTCACCGTTGAGTTCCTGCACTTTTGGCGATTATGAGTGAACTAAACTCAAATTTGTGTCGTTCTCATCCGCCGTATAGAGAACAACAAAGTGTTTATGGGAAAACACACACTGCACACTAAGATTTTGCTTCCGTGTTCGGTAAATTTTACCGAAATCAGAACAGCTGAACGTTCGGTAAAACTTTGACCTTCATTTTAAAGGCTATTGAATTTGAAAATGGTTTGAACCTTGTTTAAATGATAAAATTTTGTCATTTTAGTGGAGATTTAGTTTCAAATAGGTGAAAAGCAAATGAATTGAATTGCATAAATTTTACCGAACGGTTCAGCTGTTCATATTTCGGTAAAAATTACCAAAATCGTCGATAATGTGTGTACGCGGTATTTTTTTTTTTAGTAATTTTGAGCAAAATTTAAAATGTAGTGTTAAATACTCAAACATCTCAAAATCTCCGAGTTCAATTTTTAAAGTTGTTTATAAAAAAAAAACTAATGAGAAATTAAAACTTGTTGAATATTGAAAACCATAAACACATTTTTTTTTTACCGAGTCCTTTATTTTCTTAGGCACAATCGAATAAACTTTACAGAGCCGACGATTCTTGTTTATTATACAAAACATCGTAAAACAATAGTCAAAAGGTACAGCACAACAAACGCTTTATAGCGGTGCCGGTGGTGTAGTGGTAAGCGTGATTACCTCTCACCCCAGCAGGCCTGTGTTCAATCCCAGTCGGCGCCGCCGGGATGTTCTGAGGCATAACATCTCTGATCACGGGAAGTAAAGCCGTTGGTCCCCGGTTCATGAGTTGATGGGTCGATAGGTAGGGTCCAGGTGTGGGAGCTGGCGTCGGTAGCATTGGTGCTCAGCACGGAAAACAAGATCGACGGAAAACAAATCAAGGAAAAAAATAATAAGCTATAACAAGCCTTCTCCATCAGAACGGGATCCGCTTCCAGTCCACACTGGGCCAGTAATGCAATCTAGCGGAGCAAAATTAATAACTCCGAAACAAAGCATTTTCGCGACTTAGTGTCTTGGGCAAAGCTTCTCATCATAATAAGGACCATCTATTGACATAAATAGTTCAAAACACTTCTGCAAAGATGGCGCTACAATCTAGCTTCTTTCTCTGAAATTTGGAGACGTGATGTCTTCGGCAGAGTTGTTTATCTTGACAAAATAAATAACTCTTTTGAAGAAATAAAATTTCTAACATTTTCCATGTATTTGCATAAGAGAAAAATATAACATTATATGGTTGTGAGCAAAAAAAAAAACCGAAACAGAAAATCAAAACAAAAACATATTTTCAACATGTTTTCTTTAACTCTATATAACTCGAAACCAGTAAGCTGTGGAAATTTTACGTCTTAAAAAAGAGTTGTTTATTTTGTCAAGATAAACAACTTTGCCCAAGACATCAAGTCCCCAAAACGTCAGAGAAAGAAGTTAGATTGTGGCGCCATCTTTGCGGAAGAGTTTTGAACTATTTGTGTATGTCAATAGCTGGTCCTTATTATGATGAGACACTTTTCACAAGACACCAAGTCGCGGAAATGCTTCGTTTCGGAGTTATTAATTTTGCTCCGCTAGATTGCATTCCTGGCCCAGTGTACAGTGGTTTCATTGTATGGCAGTATCACCAACGGGGAGCAAAGCGCTTCCATTGCACTCACACACTCATCACGAAACGGTTGCTTTTCAAGGTCGACGATCCATCGGCCGAAAGAACTGCACATGAAGAACAATGAGCACCACACGATCGCGTGATACAAATCAAGAGGAATGTCTGCTCGTTTCGACAGCTTAGAGAGCACGCCCAAGAAGATTTTGTTTTTCAAAATTCAACCCTCAAAATTATTTCAAAACCAACATTAACCACTATGATAAAAGTTAACTATTCTCACGGCAAAGGGTACACCAAACGTCTCAAAAATGCGAAACTGTTTACGTACGGTTTGTTGGTTTAGTTGGTTTAGCGCTGCAACCCAGGCTGGACCTGCATATCTCAGTATCAACGTAACTACACTAGCCAGGAGCCGTCTCTTGCTACTGCTTGGTCCCGAGATGTTCGGCATGATTCTGGTTACCGCTTTGATGGCCTTCGCCGCCTTCTCGCAGGCGTATTCGACGTGGCTATTGAAGACAGATCATCACTCCCAGGTATTTCAACACGCGCTTCGAGGCTATGGCTGACCAATGACATGTCGCTCCATGCATCCAGTTTACAATCATGTCGATCGCCTCACATTTCCATCTATTCCAGCGTCTTGCATGTAACTTTAAGACGATTTCGTTCGCAAAGCCAACGTCTCAACTCTTTTGGGTAGCTTCAGCATTAGCACGCCGTTGTACATCCCGTTCCAAAGCGTTGGACCAAGGATGGAGCTTGGTGGAATTCCCACCGTAATCCTAATCGATCTCTGCCTCGTAGACCAGAACTCGGTTCTGGAAGTAGCTCCTTAGAATCCTGTACAGGTAGTCCGGGACCCTCATTTTATGCAGCGCTTCGACAATGGCCCCTCAGCTGGCGCTTTTGAACGCATTCTAGACGTCGATCGTTATCATGGCGTAATATCTATCTCCTCTCCGCTTCTGTTTCGACGCCTTCTCGGCTCTCTCGACCACAGTCTGAATTGCGTCCACCGTTGATCTTCCTTGTCGGAATCCGAACTGACTCTCCGAAAATCCGTGCTCACTCACCGTGAATTTCGTTAGCCTTTTTAGGATGATCCTCTCCAAGAGTTTTCCGAGTGTATCCAGCAGGCACTGCTACGAGTTCCTCCGTTGGTGACTTCGCGGTTATCTCCGTCTCCGTCTCCGTACGGTGTAGGTGGCCAGTTCATTGACCGTACTTCGGAAACAGTCCTTCCACGATGACTTTCAGCTTCTCTGGGCACAATTTCAGCGGGTATCGTTTGACCTCTGATCTTCACCGTCACGACACGGTGTGCGTCGTCCCAGAGGTTGGCAGCAGCGTCTCGACACAGCTCCTGGAAACAGTTTGACTTGCTCTGCTTTAACATTCCTCTCTGTATGCTTCTGTTCTTGCTATCTGATCACGTCTTCGTAATTGCTTCGTTCCACCGGTAAGCTGGACGCCGTCAGTTATTTGGCTTGGTCGTGTCACATGCTCTCACTAACCATTCTGTCAACTCGTCTTCCACTTCAGGTCGCAAGTTCTCGTCCTCCGTACTGCTGCAGGATTCCGTTGGCTGGTGCAAGCCTGATGGTCACTATGGGTATATCCTTCGTACACTCTCCAATTCATGTGTGTCAACAGCGATGGACTGCATCAAGTGACGTCGATAATGGATTCCCGGCCATCTCTGCGAAAAATGCTGGTGATGCCTTCATTGAACAGCCTAATTTCCAGTATCGGATGCGTGTATGCTCGCGTTAGAGACTTTGTCTGAAAATATCGATTCTATTGAATCACGTGTATGAGCGAGCGTAGAGACTTTGGCAAGTGAGCGGTGTTCTTCCATCACAAGGACATGGAATAACTTTTGCAAGGGTTTCTTCAGTAAGCGGGCACGTTCTTGAGGAGATACTCCTGTCGGGCCAGTTTCTCCAGTATCAGCTTGTCCAGCTGGAGTGCCTCTGAAACAACGTCTTGTTAAGGATGGTTAGGATCTGGGATAGGATTCCACTCTCGATTCCACTGCTCGTTTTGTTTCTACAAAACAAAACATTTTTGAACTGTCAAATTAAGCGGGTTGCCAAACATACCATTATACGAACAAACAAATTCAGTCTGATGACTGACACTCTCGGCACTGTCGTCACAGCTGCGGCACACATGAGGCACACCATGAGAAAAATGTTGGCGCAAAATACGTGTGTAGAGTGACCACTAGGGTGCTTCATTCTGAAAAAAGTGATGAATTTCTGATGGGCCACCCTCCAGTTCGATTCATAGCCCCAAAATATGAACCTGTGCAAAAATTGGTAAAGATTGATGAAGGTTTAGAGGTCGCGCCAATGATTTGAAATTTGTATGGGAATTACTATGGAAGAATTTAAAAAATCGCTTATATCGCTATAACTTTGCTTCTACTTGTCCAAATGTCGAAAAAATTTAGTATGTTATTGCTATGGCAATAAACAAAAAGCCTACAGTTGCTACGCTCAGTTTTGCAGCGTATCAAGAATTATAAAAATGTGAAAAAATGGCAAAATAGGGTAAATTGACAGATGAATATGTACAAGGCAACAACGCCAATTTCATCGCAACAACAACAGGCTTGTTGATCATTGTCATGACAACCACATATTTTTTTTTTCAACGTTTGGACAACTACAACCAAAGTTAGAGCAATGTAAACGAAAATCAATAATTTCCCATACTAATTCACCAAAATCTCCATACAAAATCCAAATCA